ATATAAAAAACAAAGACTTATGCTTCAGCACCCTCACCAGCAAAGGCTGGGGATGCAGAAGCTGACTGAAAGAAACATGCACTGTAAAGATATTACTTGACTGGTAAGACAGTCCAAAACTGACAGAAGAAGTGAGTAATTTTGATGTGTGGTTGTCTCAGTCCAGAAGCTATTTTGCATTCTGGACCAACTTTCCTTGCACTGATTTTACAGTCACAGAGTTGTTGTTGTTGGCAGAAACACCCTGAAGTCAGTTACAGGTAGTCCCCAGTTTAAGAACAAGTTCTGTTCCCAAGGTCTATCCTTAAGTCGAGTTTGTATGTAAGCCAGAACAGTATTATTGTATAATACTGTATAAGTAGTAATGAACTCGAACCATTGTGTATTTAACTCAAATCATTAACTCAAATTTTGCTACAGTAGGTTCTGTTCTTAACTATGGGTCATCTGTAACCAGGCATTCTTAATCCGGAGACTACCTGTATGGTAAAAAACTTCAGAACTGTGCCACTGAGGAGGTGGTACACTTCTGAGAAGCTACACTCACACATTAAATATCAGCAAGAAATGCCGGTGGTCTGAGTAACAGCAGGAATTTTGTTTGTCCACTATTTCAAGTCTTTTGCAAGCATAAATAAATTCCAGGTCAGCATCCCTGCTTCATTTTCTTGTCTTCCCTATTAAAAATCCCATTTAAACAACTCATTAGTGCAGAACTTGGGGATTTTGAGTGAGCAAAAAATAGAAATTAAATTGGGTATATTAGATTTTCTTGCACTTGAATACTTGGCGTGACCCAATATTGCATTACTATATTTGCTGTTTAAAAATAGTGGCAATCAAGCTAACTGCAGCTGCCAGTGGCATCCTGCCTTTTTGTCATTATTTTGCAAATGAAAACTGAAGTAGGCAAAGGGCAGAGCCACGCTACAGGTTGAGATTGAAATGCTTTCCTGTTATTAAGGCTGTCCTCCATGTGTCTTCAGAGCACACACCAAGTGCCGAGCTTCATACACACTCCCTGCATATTGAAGGTCATGTCTGCAATATATGCCCATGTGTACAAACATCCAGTCATATCATATGGAGCCTTGTGATCACCCATAGATGTCAGTTTTCCCCTTAATCCCCTTGCCAGTGTGCATTTCAACATGTACATGGCTGGGGGAAGAGCTTGCTGCCATCCATTGTTCATGCTTTCCTTATATGAACAGAGAAGAAAAATTAAAAGATTATGGTTGAGCATTCTTTCCTTCTTCCCAGTGAATCTTGAGAACTGTATTTTGTTGTTAGAGCCTATGGATTTTCAAGCAAAAAATCCTCAGCGCCTTTGCCAGATTATAGTTTTGCCATCAAACAGCACCGGTGCTTAATTTTGTCTTCTGTCTTTCAGCATATCTCTTAGGTCTTCCAGGTGTTGTTGAACTACAGTTCCCAGCTTTCTTCACCATTGGACAAGCTGGGTGCCATTGCTGGAACTATACTTTAGCAGCATTTAGAGGATCACATTTTCCCCACTTATCGATACAGAGAAGAGGACATACTGGCCTTCTGTGCCTCATGCTAAATAGCTCTTACCTACATTAAAAGTAAATGCTACTTCCATGCTAATGCAATCAATGCAAAACTTTGCAATTTATTAATGAGCTATCGAGAGCCCTGAGTATCTATAAGACTATCCACTGGCATCAAAACACACCCATCCAGAGTCAAAAGCCTTCCCAGTCATTAAAACATTCTGCTGCTGCTTTGCTTCATCTGAGAAACATCCTGGTTTTTCTATGCAATTACCTTGTTATTGTTGTTTTTTGCTTTTCTAAATTGGTCCCAGACCTTGAACTCTTCAATAATCTTTGCTATTCTTCACCTGGGAGTTTCTGTTGGCAACTCTGTTAGGCAGAGCAATCTTTCCCAAGAAATTCTGGCCCAGATTCCATTGGACTTTTTTTTCCTGATCTTTTGCCAACTCCTAGAGAGTCTTGAAGAACACATCTCATGCTGCCCACCTGCTCCACGATGCCCAGGTTTGGGTGCCCATGTTGTCTCATCTTTTGGTTTTACTTGATATTGCAAGTTTGTCTGCCTTGCTCCTCATGTGTCTTCATGAAGTATACTTTATCAGAGGGAATATATATCTCAGCTTTCTTCTCCTTCCTCTTTTCTTCCATGATTGTTACCAACTTCAGTGTTGCCGGCTTTTCTTTCCCCCAGCCCTGAAATTGTCTTTGGCTTGCTGTCACTTGATATCTCCCGCCCTTTCCCATTCTCTCTGGTCCTTTTTTTTTTTTTTCAGCTTTATCAAGAATTCTTCCATTTTCTAGAAAATCTCAGGCCTCATTTCAGCCATGCTCTGTGCTGTTTAGACCTATATGACTTTACCCATGTGGCACTTCTGTTTATCTAGTAAAACATCCCAATTTGGAAGCCCAATCTAATGGACAGAGAGCAAGAGATTCCCGTAGGAGAGAATAAGACTGTATTTGAGAAGGTGGTGGCTGGAGAAATACTTCTTTGTTTCTCCTGAGGGCCAAGTCATTTAAGTTTGTAGGGCTGGGATTCCTTGTTATTCTCCCATATTGTTTTTGGTGGAGGAGGACTTTTGGATGGACTGTTCAAATATTATTTAATGTTTTAAATCTATCTGAAGGCTTGAAATGTCAAAATGACCCTAAAAAGCATGGAAAACCATATCACTGAATCTCAGCAATTTGCCATCCAATTTCAATGGTGCAATCAGAATGGATCACAGAAAAGTTCAGAGGCCCTCTGTGACTTGGGGAAATGCACTGTCCACTCTTCTAAGACTAAACCACCCCCTTCCATTAATCACATGCCACATACTAAGAGTCTGTCTATAAAACCTTGCCACTGACACCAAAACATAGCCATCCAAAGTCAAGTACCCTCCTATTCACTGAAACAGTCTGCTTCTCCATCGTTTTTCTGTGATGCAGCTTTGATTTTTGCTGTCCTAAACTGCTCTTAGACCATGAACATAGAAAAGTAGCTTTCAAGGGTAGAAAGATACCTGCCCCAGGCAAGCTTGTTAACAGAATCCAGCTTTTTTTGATATATGGAGTTGATATTCTACACACGTCTTTAAAGGGTGTGTGATTCAGATAGAAAATGTGGCAGGCAACTCGCTTCCAATTTGTAAATGATGCCTGTGAATTTGGCAACAAAATGAAAGGAAGAAGCCACCAGTCACAATGGCTGCCATTGCACACTCTTGGTACAAGAGTCCAGCCAGACTCTTGGGAAGCAGCTTCTCGCATTTCATAAGCAGCTGCATGTTACTGAAGCTCAGGAGGAACTTTGGCTGTGATGTGGAGTTGTAATGGTATCTGGGAATGACCTTGGGATACAGGTGGAAAAGCCACAGACTAGACAATGGCAGCCACAGACAAGCAGCAGTTGAGCCCACACAAGGAAAGTGGGTGTGGCAAACCTCTCAGAAGGGACCCTGCCTAGTTTTTTGGACTGTAAAGGTGAGGAGGGGAGTGACTGGCAAGATTCTGTTAATGTAACCTTACAATAAAGTTACAACTAGTGCTTCTTGTCTGGACTGCCTCACAAGGCTGACAGGTATTAGGAGAGGCAGGTCAGAAACAACCCCCCCCCCCTCCCTAAGGGACTAAAAAAACTGTCTAGACTGACTCATCGTGTAG